TGAAGTGGCCCTGAAATTGCAAGTCTTTCATGAAGCACTACGTAAACATCTAAGGAATATGGAAAAACTCCATAAAGAAGATGCTTGACTGCCTCACGAACTCTCCGATGAGCATCGTTTCCAACGTGTGAACGTTGATTCGTCTCTTCTGGTGCGTAATGTGCGTGAACCATTTTTGGACAGAATTGTCACCGGTGATGAAAAATGGATTCTCTATGCGAATATTAAACGCCAAAAACAATGGCTCAGTCCTAGATAAAAACCACTTCCGGCCCCATAACCTGGACTCCATCCGCAGAAAGTGATGCTTTGCATTTGATGGGACATCAAAGGAGTAATTCATTTCAAACTCCTCAATCCACAGCGAACTGTCAATGCAGAGATCTATAGTCAGCAACTGGAACGTTTAAATCAAGCCCTTTATCAGAAACGCCCTTCATTCATCAATCGGAATGGTGTTCTTCTTCTCCACGACAATGCACGTCCACATGTGACACGTTTGACGCAACACAAGATTATGGATTTGGGTTGGGTAGTTCTCCCCCACCCACCATATTCTTCATCAGATTACCATCTTTTTCGTTTGCTGCAACACCATCTTAATGGAAAAACGTATGCAAATGTGGAAGGTGTTAAAGAGGACATCTACATGTTTTTTGCTTCAAAACCAAGTGATTTCTTTAATCAGGGCGATAACAACCTGATTGTAAGATAGAAAAGCATCATCAATAAATTGGAGACTATTTCATTTAATAAATGTTTTGTTTTGATATATAAGTTGTTCGTTTTTTTTTCATCTAAAAACGCGACATTAATTTCTTGACGACTGGAGCTTTGGCTTAACAGTTACACTCACTTTTGAGGGAGATTTCTGATTTGTGATTATTCGTGTTAAAATAAGCTAACAACAAAAACATAAAAATTATTTCGAAACGAACTTATAAAATGTGATTAAATGTTTCAACACTCGGAATAATGTGACTGAGTATCCAAGTTGGTTAACTTAAAAACATCTTCTATCAAGCCCCCCAGTGGCATAGCGGGATGTCTGCGGACTAACAACGCTAGAAACCGGGTTTCGATACCCGTGGTGGGCAGAGCACAGATAGCCGATTGTGTAGCTTTGCGCATTACAATAAACAAACAAATCTTCTCGCAATATGTCTACATTCTTAAGATAACTTTTACATCTTCTAAATTATATTTACTTATATTTGAACTATTTAAGTTTGAAAATTATCTTTATCTTTTTTATAAGAAACTCATTTGCCTTAATTAAAGACACACTTTTAGCCTCCAGTTTAAACTCTAAAACGTCACTGATGTGATTCTGTTGTGATACACCATTTAAGATATTCATTAGTTTTATTCTTGAACTTAAGTCATTTATAGTAATTATTTCTTCATTCTATTTGCTATATAACGTAACACGCATGATAGCTATATATTTAGCAGTGCTATATTCCAATAAAGATATTTGTATAGAATTTATAAGCAGCTGTAATTAATTTATTCGTTGTTAATATTTATTTGTTTTTTTCGGTAACCTTTGCATTGCATATTTTATATATGTTCAATTGAATACTAGCTGTTATAATTAGTTCGTTATGATAATAAATTGAAACCTTAGTTTTTATTTATCTTTGTGTCTGCAAGATAATATAATTTTATCAGAATATTCACTCTCCATCAGAAAACGTGAGGTTGTCCAGCTTCCCAGTTATATCTCACAATCACATTTATTACACCATCAGTTATAGAAACCATATTAGTTGTCATTAGAAATAAAACCCATACCATGAACAGCTGAGAATTGCAATTTCAAGTAACTTAACTTTCGTCATCTCAGCTACGTCGGCGCTGAGGAATGTCACCCGATATGTGACTGTAGATGACAAACTAAATCCGGTGTAGAGTTTGCTTATATTCTCATATTCTCTTCCCGAACAGAGAAAATGTTTGAGCGAGTCGTGTGGGTTGAGCAATGCTATGTTGCTTAATTAATAAGTATTATATTGCGATTTAATTATGCTTCATTGTTTTTAAACAATTTATAATTAGAAAAAATCATTACATTGATTGATCCTTTAATCTTTTTATTTCATTATTTGTTATATAATTGATGTTGAAGGAAAGACATTGTTCTTTAATTTCGAAGGAGAATTATCATCATTTTGTTATATTCATATCTTTTCAGTAAAAGGATCAAAATTAATTTTTCAGTCTGTGTTTGTTATAATTTTAATTTTGTGCATAATGTTGAAGTGATTTTTAGATCGTTAAATTGCTAACGTTTTACTCATCAAGTCTTTTCTACTTAGCGTCCTCTTATGGGTTAAAGCTGGTTCAAGGAAACGTTCTTAGAACTTATTTTCTAGTAACTTGGATTTTCATGTTATTGAGTATTCTTGATAACAAGTAATAGCAAACAAGTGTAATAAGATCCGAAAAACATCAACAAATGATTAAGATTTGAGATTCGTTAGAATGAAACGTCGGCTATCAGGAATTACGTAAAGTTTAATTCTTCCCCTTCTGTTCTGTACATACAATACCTTCATCTTCTCCTGTCTCACGTACATCCTGATTTCCTATTCTTTCAACTTACTATCCTCCAGGTACTGGAAGGTCATCCTCTTCGTCCCGCTTTTCCTGTCAAACTACTTAGTCCTTCACTGGAGCTCTATAATTGCATACTATATCATCTCCGCGACCTTCCAGCCCATACTCATCCTTTTGATATTTTTCATATCCACATAACCATCGCTTATAACTTTATACTTTCGTTCCTCTTTTGGCCGAAGAGAGGGTGTAACCCTATGATGACCCGCAAGCCCCTTCCCTGAACTGGAATGAAATGACAATAAAAAAGATTGTCTGTTGGTTGAAGAGAAGGCGCAACTCTCTGATAGCCCACCAGTCCTTGGGCTGGATGAAACAAAAACACAAAATTGGCTAATAAATATGTGCTATTCATTTGTAAAATTAATGGGATGAAGAAAACCTGGTCAGTTTGTACTTTAATTTTGATATCTATGTAATGTTCACCCGTGAAGAAAATCTGGTTAATTTGTACGTGAATTCTGAGATCTATGTAATGTTCAGTAAGTTTTATTGTTTGTTTGTGCACAACTACTCGAGGACTATCTGCGCTAGCCATTCCTATTTTAAAAGTAATAACCTAGAAGTAAGGCAACTAGTCAACATCACCCACTGCTAACTCTAGGGATACCTTTGCCAATGAAAAGTGGGATTGACCTTCAAAATATAACGTCCTACACGGCTGAAAGGGCGAGCATGCTTGATAAGGGGATTCGAACCCGTGAACCGTAGTTTGGGAGTCGAGTGTCTTTTTTGGGAGAGGGGAGTCATGTTTAGTCAGTTAGATGAGTCAACCAATCAGATATAAACACACTTTCATTTCCTTTCTGCTTTTAACCTCTATTATCGTTTTTCTCACAAGAAACTGTTGTTGTCTGTCTCTTTTTTCTGCTTTTATCTTCCAGTATTCAGCACCAAGAAAGACGGTATTTTCCATCAAACTAACCACGTTTTTTCTTAAACTCTTCGTTTATCCACTGTCTGTCTCTTTGTTTGAAGTTAAGCACAAAGCTGCACAATGTGCCATCTGTGCTCTGCCCACCCGGTTTCTAGCGTTATAAGCCCGCAGACACATCGCTGTGCCACTGGGGGTCTAACACTGTCTTCTTTGTTATTTTATAACTATCTTGCACCTTTATTACGAACTCAAAAATAATTTTATATGAATATTTTTATTCTACACTTTTCCTGAAATAAAAACCAAAACAAACTATAAATGTCCATTTCATTAGGAGGAAAACTGAGCGCTTCAACCCTGCTCTCCCATTAGGTATCTGCAGCACACGTGCTCGGGTGACACTATAAACGTACATTATCCTGGGAAAACAAATGCACCCCTAAAAGTATTTTAATTTTGCAGTCCCACTATTTTGTTGTCGTTCCCCAGTTGGCCAGCGGTAAATTTATGGACTTATAACTCTAAAGTCTGGGGGTTCGACAGAGCATAAATAGCCTATTGTGTAGCTTTGCGATAAGAGAAGTAAACAATTTTCCGCCCTGTGGTTATGTACTCTGCGTATGGATAACGCCCCCTGATATTTCATACAGGAAATTTCACGCTTGAAATAGGAAAAGGGAATATAAAGTAAAAAATATGCTCTTGCAAGGATTCTGAAGTAACTGATTAATTTACTTCAGCTTTTCTTTTATTGACAATTTTTGGAATTAATTTTTGAGAAAATCGCTATAATTTCTATAATAACATTTTATGATGAGTAGGCAGGCCTGACATTATTGATTAATTTTTTATGTTGACAGCCAATGCTTACACAGTGTTGACAACACTCAGTCGACTACCATCTGTGGCCTTCATTTCGTCTAAAGTAAACTGGTGTATACTCACCTGAAGTTGTTTATTTGTTAATTTTTTTAACCCGGATCTTGAAATTGTTTACCAGTTATTTGTTACTTTTTTTATTCGATGGTATTTTCAAATGTTACTAATGGTAATTCAGAAATTTCTGGACTATGAGAGGTAGAAGTTTATCTGGAACACTATTTATACATGCAGTAAGATAATAAGTTACGTCATAAGCGTTTAAACCAGCCCAACTGACGAGTTCCGGTATTGAGGGAAAGGCTTTCTTGGCAGTAATTTAATGGAGACGAATAGATTTTTAGACGAAATTCTAATCTTGCACATTTCTAGTTTGAATTTAAGAAGAACGTCAATAATAAAAATAATCTTTAGTCAAAGTGTTTTATCACATATATATTAAGCCTAATATGGAATGTAGATTGTTTGAATATCTTTTTTTCAGATATACTACAGAAATATAGATTTTATTCGTAACTTCAATTTAGTACGATTTTTGTTATCTAGTATACTGTAGGTGTTCTGATATTCTTTATTCAATTGTCATATTATTTCTTGTCCAAAACACAAGAAAAATAATAAATATATTTTATTGATTTGAAGACAACTTTAAACCACCTTTTACTTCGTGATTTTGCTGTCTACGTAATAAGATTTTAACGGTAAACAATCGAAAACAACAACAACATAATCTTTCGGGCTTTGTTTTGCCCTACAAAAAGAAAAAAAAAATCAGCATTTATTTTTGAACTCATTAGTCATCGTTTTTTTTTTAAACTTTAAGCTTACAAACTTAATGACAGTTTTACCAATTGTTGAGAAATCGTTAAACTAATGTCATTTTTTTCACTTTAAATATCTATGGCGAGATTGATTTTTCTGCACACTAATTATTCACAACCACTTATTAACAGTCAAAAATAAATAGTTAAACGCATTTGACCCGAGACTTATAAGTCTGAAATATCTTTTTCCGGCATATTCGATGGCTTCTTAGTTAAAGAACACAGTGATAGCAAAAAAATTAAAGAAAATTTGAGCTGGTTGAAAACGTAAGTGTAAGTAAAATGAATATATTATTAGATAATAAATTTTGATTGTTAGAAAGAATACCTGTTAATGATATAAGGATCTGTATTCATGACAAAGCTACTAAAGTTATCTGCCACCGTTACTAATTTTGAATTATTGATCTGAGGGTTGACAAGGGAGTTACTGTCACTCTTATAACACACATTCAGCTTAAAGTCCGGGGAATATTTTGTGGTATCGCAGGGATTGAAAATTGGATCGCCAGATCCGAAATCCAGAGCTTTACAACATGGCCAATCTGCGCCCCTAAGGATACAAAATATATAGAATTATGAAGAGAAATTCCGGCATACAAACTATTTAGTAAGTAAATACAACAACAAAGTAGTTGAAATATTAGTTTTCTGATAAAATGATAAAAACTACTAAAAGATGCCGTATTATAAGTATTTATCACCCGTACTTCGATTGACACAGTACTTTGTGGAGTTACAAAAAGACGTATCTCTTATGTTAAAATATATTATGTGAAAAATTAAAATAGTTCGTGAATTTCAGTGTTGCGTTTTCATTTTTAAGAAAACTTTCTCTTGGTTAGAAAACACAAAAAAACATTTTAATAGGTATTTTTTTTATAGTAAGCATGGTTGTGAATATTTTGAATAAGTGGATTTGGATTAGAAATGCTCCAAGAAATGACGGGATCTGCCTATTTCTATTATTAGTAACTTTAGGTTCTTGATGTTGATACTTTTTCTTTCAGAGGATGTTTACACCCACGAAACTGCAGTGAACAAGAATGAGTCGGTTATCTTCCACATTCTGGATAGTGCGGGCCACAGCCACGTGAGTTTAATTATAAGTCTCTATAAGAGTCTCGTGGACGCTAAGAATGGTCATTAATAAACGATGTACTAGTAAGAGTTCTCCGTTAAATATCATGTTATAAGAAGCACTTGTTTCTTTTCTAGAATCAACGGAATCGAGTTCTTTGTACGTAATTTACCATCAGAGATATATTAGAAAGTAACTATAAAAGCAAGGAGGTTATCCAATATCAGTATGAAAAAATGAAGTCTCACTATTGTAGCTGTTTAGTGAGGATGTGCGGAAATTTATAGAAGAACAAAATAAATGCCTTAAGAGGTGAACGAGGTCAAAAGTGAAAGACAGTCTGTTTTTCCTAAAGCGCTTGAATCATTGTATAATTTAGTTGTGATTTATATGCTTTTATGTTATACCTACTTTTCAAACATCAATTGTAAACAATTCTTATATTGCATTCAGAAATATGTTTGGAAATGTTTAATTTGTTTGTAATTAAGCACAAAGCTACACAATGGGCTATTTGTGCTCTGCCCACTACGGGTATCGAAGGTTGGTTTCTAGCGTTGTAAATCCGCAGACGTGCCTCTGTGCCACTGGAGAGCCTTTGGAAAGGTTGCTACAGTAAATATATATATTTAAGCTACAAAGAACTTATTCTAGAGATAAATAGCTTTGTGTGACAGTTAATTTAAATGATTTATAAACTTATATGTATAATATGTAAACAGAAAGAAAATAAGATCATCTTAAGAAAAGATTGTTTTATCTTGATCTCCGGCCACACTAGTGTCTTACGGGTCGAAGTTCAAAGGTCACTGGTCAAAGTAACAAGTTGGTATAACTCAAAAAACGGCTCTTCATATCAGCCTTATGGTGGCCGATGGAGTAGAAACTTCATCTGAGTTTATGTATTATTGCAATAGTGGCGGTCATTTTTTTATTGCATTCCTTCATAGAGAGTTCTAGCGCTCTTTCTGAGATATATATATATAAGATCTTTGTGTGCCCCCCCCCACAATGTGTGTATGTTGTGTTATAGAAAATTTAATAATGTAATGACGTAGCGCCATTTATGAATGTAGTTAACTTATATCAAAGATAATAAATGCTATAACAGCAATGATAGTGGTTAGAGGGAGTTGTGGTCCCCCATACATGCCCCTGGTTCTGAACTATCGTCCCAAACGATAAAATATTGCACTTATGCATTATTATTCATACAAAACATTCAGTAACACTCTCACTTTAACCGAAAGGAATTATTATCAACGTTTTGAGAGACATTTGATTTACATATTTTGAAAGAACTAATTAACAGATGACGAATATACATTTCTACCGTTTTAATATTCAACAGTTTTGTGGAATTTGAAAAGTGCAATCCGTAACTGGCATGCTCTTTTCTGCGTGTACATAAGAGTGTACTTCAGATATGTTATATGATTTAGTATGCATATTTATGTATACATTTATAATTATTTTAATATAACACATAACCCTTTGTACAATTACTGATTTTCACACGTGTCACTTTGATCTTTAAATAGTACACAATAGTTTTCCGATGGAATGCTATGATAACTTTGCTTTCTTGCTCAGAATTTTCAAGAGCAATGCATTGAGGCTGTTGAAATGTAATACGCCTTAATAATAATATAAACAAACGAGGCAGTTTAATTTTGTCATTGAAATTGTTACATATTAATATCATTTTTACTGCTTCTTTACCTCGTAAGTGTCTGCGGACTTACAACGCTAGAATTCGGGTTTCGAGACCCGTGGTGGGCAGAGCACAGATAGCCCATTGTGTAGCTTTGTGCTTAATTACAAACAAACAAATACCTCGTAAGTAGTTGTGTATAATTTTTTTTCCCTAGAATATGGAATTAAATCAGTTGCGACTTGAGTAAAATGGAGTTATTTTCACAACTGGTACATTTAATGAAGTGAGGGAAATAATCTGGCGATTTACAATGCAGCTTTATATAATTTGGCCTATATATAAAGCTTAAGATATTGTACTATGTAGCTCTTACGTTTTCTCTTACTTGTCCATCTTCTGTGTATTTTACTTATTATAGTTCTATGCTTCGGAAATGTGTGACACTTATAATAAGTAAGTCATGAAAAATCTCAAAGATTTTTTGTTAATGTATTATTTTACTAGAAAAATATTTCTTCATTTCTTAGGATACAGAACCGGTTTTTCTGGAGGCCAATATTCGTTGGGCTGACACATTCATTTTAATGTATTCCGTAACTGATAAATGTAGCTTTGATGAATGTAACCGTTTAAAATTTCTCATTAAACTTTATAACAAACGATGTCGGATTCTGGGAGGTCCGTTATTTCCGAGTCATTTGACAGAGGTTCCTGTTTTGTTGGTTGGGAACAAAGCCGATCAATATGGAGACAGAATGATTTCAAGAGAGGATGGAGAACGAAGAAGTCACGAGATAGACTGTGCAGGATTTCACGAGATTTCAGTACGAGAATCGATAGACGAGGTTGAGAACGTATTTAGGCATCTGTATCAGATCTGGAAAACATGGAATAAGAAAAGTAAAATAAGGCGCTGTTCTAGTGATGTTGGTACAGGACCATTTTTTAAAAGGCTCCCGATCGTCAGCAGAATCCCTCTGATGAGTTTTCAGGAAGAAACGTCGCCAGTAAAACCAGCAAAAAATCTTCATGAACAAACTATTCGACCACTTAACGATTTATTTCCGACCAAATTTCGAGAACGAGCTTGTACCGATGGAACATTACACACATCCACGAGGTGGCGCTTCAGGACTGCTAGATTTCATAGTGCAGTCAGTTCGCCACTCCAGACTCGAAGGATGAGCATCAGCATGCGCGGAAGTGAATCAAATTAACTCTGAATCAAATCCTATATTAAACTATCCTGAAGGTTAGATTTAATTACGTTATGTCATGGAACTGAGATTCATGAGTAGTGAGAAGACATGCAGATTTGAAGAAATAACGTGTTGATGTTACCTAGATGTAAAAATATGTTTATTTTTATGTGCATGAATAGACATCTACAACACATGTTAGTTTTTATTTCATTGAAATATAGTTAATGTTTTCTGAGCAGACATGTTACAGTCAAGTTAACACTGGGTCTTGTAATGTAATATTATTTTTAAATGCCTTTTGTTAGGTCACATAAATTTTTATGGCTTATTCTTGGGTAAAGCATCTCTTGATTTCCTTTTTATTCTAAACAAGAAGCTTATGTAAACGTAAGCAATAATAAAGAATATTAACATTAGAAAACTCTGAGATTCTGTCAAACAAGACAAACATGAACGTAAACAACAGCTAATAATTTCTGATAAAAATGTATCATAATCATAATATTATTATTCCTCAAAGGTGACGTAAAGAGTTCTTTGGAGAAACTTCACTGTTTATTTGTTTATAAATAATGACACTCAGAAGTGGAGTGCTTTGACACTGTAAATAAAAAAAATATGTAAATAATTCGTAGACAATGGCCTTAAATGCAGACATATGATAAAACTACTTAAGTGTCTAAGCTATAAATTTGAAATATAGTATTGAAGCCTTCAATGAAAACAACCTTTAGGTTCACATATTTTGGCAAATGAATGGAGGTGGAGAGATGAATGTTACCATGATCCTACAGATGAACTTAAACGGCTATATCTACTGCACTGTTGATGTTTCAGAAGATGAAGTGGTACTGGGGCAGACTGCTAAAATGTGCAGACAACTGATATTATCAAGCACACTTGCTAGAGAGGTATCCTTTGGATGAAAAGTCAATCGTCAGGCTGATCTATATAGTTAGTTGTTCTTTCAGAAAGAGTAGCAACTTTCTGCTCTTACTTAATAGTTTTAATTAACACCATACACGAAGAAGATCAATGTAGCTGGTAGTTACTGACTCAGTTGGGGTATCAGAAATTACCTACAAACAAGTCTCTACTGATGATAAATGGTAGAAATAACCACATGGTTTAGGATGTATCGATTTCTTGGGTGATCATATGATAGATAGGATTACCCTGGTCCAGAATCCTTCCGAGTGACGTGCTGCTCAGTTTGGTTCACCCATCTAGCTTACAACAACAGCCTTTACTCTCACTGACTTAGTAGGAAGAATGATTCATCGATTGAATGAAATGACATAATAAAAAGAAAAAACATTAGGTGCTAAATGAAGTATTGTGCCATTATGAGAGCACGAAGCATATTTATTTACTGTCGGTTGAAATGCCAAAAAAGAAGAAGATAATTTAAAAGCAATATAAAATAAAAAATAATATTTGTAATGCATTGGTTAAGTACTCAAATGTTTTAACTCAATCATTTTTCACTACGAAAATATTATGGTCTGGAGACAGAGACTGCAGCAAAGGTCAGTAAGCTGGAAGACAAGACAGTAATTTAAATTGAGAGCCAATGCCACCCTTAAAGTTACAGACAGGTACTCAGCAAGATTGAGCTAAAAAATTTAAAAACGAGATTCTGACAAGATTTATTTATTTGTTTATTGTTAAACACAAAGCTACTCAATAAACTATCTGTGTTATGCCCACCACGATTATCGAAACCCTGGTTTTTTAGAATTATAAGCCTTCAGACTTACCGTTGATAAGCAAAGTAGAGGCATGCCGAAGGTGGAAAAATAGAAGGCAGCAAAACAAAAATAATTTTAGTAATGAATTCATTTGACAAGGTTTCGATATGATTACAATGTCGTCTCTTTCCTCAATTTTTTCTTAATCAAACAATTTGCTGCGGGTGGCCAATGCCAGATCAGGGGCAGAGTATTCACTTTCCCTCCCTATAGAATAGAATTTTTTGTTTTTTATGAACCATTCAAAATAGAAATATTATATAAACATGTATGCAGAAATTTCTAAAATACTTTGAAAACTAAGCCACTGTGTTATGTAATCAGACGCAGGAGGTGTGTAGGCTACGAATATTTTGTTTGTTTTTCAGGAAGAACGCAGAATATCATTATTTATATTGAATTATTTGTAAATTTGTGGAAGTTCAATACAGCTAAAAACAACAAATAAAACAGTGGTAGCTCAAAAGTGGTTAACAGTAAACTTGCTGATGGAAGGCACCATGTTTCTGGTGCTTTATATTGGAAAAGAAAAGGAATAAGGGGTAGTAATGGCTGGAGACGGCTTGAATGGGTAATGAAGAAAAACTTTAATATAAGTT